CGATCCAGACACTTCTGGATGAAACAGTTTAGAAATAAAGAAGAAAAAAAGGAAAAGCAGTAAGGAGCCATAATGCATCTTCAAAGACGTGGTTCAGGCATGGTAAGAGGATTAATTTCGTTATCTCATCGGAGACAAGCACCAGAGGCGACATTAAGGTATAAATCATTGTATAAACCCTTTATTGTGTTGCCTAACCTAGTTTTAAGATATTTAAGGTGAGGGGGAAAAACACAAGTCCTTAGAACATTTAATCTGGGAATTTCAAAACAGCCTCAAAGCATAAACTAAATATATTAACATAAGCTAACAAGTTCAACGACAACAGTGAATCAATTCATCTTTTGTGTCGCTATAAAATGACTCACCATCAACATCATCTTCAGCTAATGTGTCAAAATAACGTATGGGCTTTTTAAAATGTTGGAAGTGTGCAGCTCCACAGCTCAGCCGGTGCTCACTGTACTGCATTTCTTATCTTCAATCACAGAGACCGCAGCGATTTCCACCTTGTTAAAATGACATGAATCTAAACCAGTGAATACAAATCTACCTACTAACTACTGCTTCAAATCTAAAATACCAATTTCCCTCAAACCTGAAGACTGCTCTTTTAACTTTCCTGAGATTAAAAAAAAAAAACCACAGGACCACCTGTTTATAAAATGTCGCAATTACTGTTGGAAAGCGTCTTTGACACAGCTGAAAGTCTGGGTGGAGCAGTTTGTTCTTCCAACAGTGTGCTGGCAGCCAGCGGACAGTGAGAGCAATTAACTTGATCCATGTTGACGGGACCAAGAGTCCTCATGTGATGGAACCTAATACTGCACTGCTGTTATCATTTAGCATCAGGCTTCTGTACCAGGGGAAAAAAAAAAAAAAAAAAAAAAAAAACGTTGTTTAAGATGTGGTGTGGTTTGTGGTGTGGCAGTGGTGCAGTGTGGGGGCTTTCATTCATGCCCATGTATTTGTCATTAACTTCTGTGACCACTCTTTCATAGAGTCATCAACACAAGCATCTGAAGTCAGAAAGTCATTAACCAGGGGATAATTAAAATTATAACCAGACCATTCCACTGAAGCAGAAAACAATAATGAGATGCATATGATATTTGGAGGGAATGTTGAACGTCGTCAGGCTCTAAGGTCTTCTACCAGATATATGGCCAAACACTTTTGTCCTCTGAGTTCAACCCATCTGGACGCTTTCCTTGGAGAAAATTCTTATTCAACACACCACAGTCAGACATGACGGATTAAAACCTGCGACAAGGTCAAAGTCAGCCATATGGTGAGAGAGCGGTTAGTGTTCTCACCTTACTGCAAAAGATGACGGGTGATGGTTCGTACACACCAGAGCTAGACAATAATAATAACAAGCCAGATCTTACTACCACAAGGCCACAGGCTGCAGCATGGTGAGGGAGTGGTTAGTGTTCTCGCCTTACATAAAAAAAACTAAAACTAACAAGTTCTGTATGGAAATTTCTGTATGGAATTTGAATGTTCTGTGTGGGATTGTCTCCCTGTGGAGCTGTAAGCTGTAGATGTATGAAAATGTAGAAATGAACGGCTTTGACGTTTCACATCCATTAGCAAACCTAGAGAACCCTTATTAACCATGAACAAAGAGCAGATGTCTTCACGTTACATTACGTTCCATTCCATTCATTATATTCCTTTGGCTTGTTCTTCTGCTTTGTCAATGCGGTTCTGAACATGACTAATTATAGTGTCCATACCCTCTAGATCTATACTTCCCAGATCCAGCATGTCTCAGACATAAAAGAAAACCATTATCTGACATAAAGATAGCTGTCAAGGCACAGAAACATCACATTTCAAACATCACATGTCTGCCAGTCAGAGTGAAACGTAAAGACTGCGCACTTGTAGAGTTTGGACTTCTGTCCTCAGTCTAACCACAAACACAGCAGAGAGAAGTGAAGGTCCCACCGTTGGGAGTCAGGGCCGGTTTCCTGCTGTGATCCAGTAAAGCAGCTGACTTGACAAACACTGTCCCTTCTAGTAAATGATTTTCTTTCTTTCTTTTTTTTTAAACAGCTGCCCCCTTTAAATGAGAGGAGTTCCTGTGTTCGCCATCTCATTGGTTCGATTCCTGGTCTTTTTTTCCTGGTTCCAAACAGGAACAGAAGCCTTTACACAGTAATTGAATGGAGCTTTTCTAAAAGGAACAGGTTGAGATAGCTTCACTGACCTCTGGTCTTACTCTTGACTTGCTCTTACAACAGAATGGCCAAGAGAGGCCTACTGACTGTCAAGTGTTTGCTACTTTAAGCGCCCCCACTCCCCTCACACCCCCCACTCTCCTGTGTGGTAAAGTGTGGGATTTAGATTGAATTGTTTGGTAATGTATTTTTATTGGCAGAAAGACGAATCAAACGACTGCTTTTTAAAATGACATCAATCACATCCACGTGACAATTTTCACAAAAATGCTCCTTTGTAAATCCTTGACCTTCGATCCACCCGCCCCTTTGAAAACCTGGGATGAAATGGATGTCAGACTATAATGGTTTCGCAGGTGTTGTTTATCCCTTGGTTTCTGTTGCTGCGTGTTAGCAAATCCCACAGACCATGTTCAGTTTTTTGGGGTGGCTGGTGTCAGCTAACCCGTCGTCTCGGTGGGACATTAAATGTCACACTTCAGAGTGGTGCTTCGTCGTCCTAATTATTTGGGCAGCATGATGATGCCGAAGATTGAAACGTCCAAATTTACGGTGTGGTACTTAACATTTCAAAGAATATTGCTATAATTCCAATGCACTAATTACTTCCCAGAACCTCGTGTCAGCTCTAGGAATTCTTTGAATTTGACATCTTACTAATTAATACCTTTATGCCAGTTTGGTTATTGTACTAATGAGGTGCATTTTCCATTTTAGGCAAAACTGACATTTTATATGGACCTGAGGCGGAATGAGAAATATCTACTACTGTAAAGGTCATTGTTTAGGAGAAATAAATCAGTGTCAGGCTAATGAATGGAAGCTGGATCGACGTTCTATAATGGTGACTGGTCATTCATCTCAGGTCCTACTTATGTGAACATTTTCTTAAGAGTGAGTTTAAATTGTCATCATAAAAATGTGAAAGAGTCTCCACATGTACGGTGGCGAGATTACATTAAATTTAATTCAAGCTCATTCACATTGTGCATTAGTGTAAGGGGAAGACAGAGAAGTGTAGCAACGTCAAAGTGATTATAATTATTCGGCAGAGAACTGATGGTCACTCTACAGCAGCTCAGTTTCCTCTAAAGTACATATGAATACATGTCTCCTATGTATATAAATAAAATCCATTTAATTTACTAAAAATGTTCTGGAACAAACTAAACTCTCTAACCAGTTCGTTCAGACTCAGCTGTTTAGCTCAGCTTCCATTGGGGTCCATGTGGCAGAACTAAGAGGGCTACAAGGGTTGACTGAATAAACACAGCAAAAACAATCACTTCCACAGACGTCCGTCTTCACCAGGAGTCTAGGGGTGGTGGTAGCTGGAATTCTGCCTGATAATTAGACCATTTCAAAAAGCAGAACCAGACGCTTTCAGAAAAAAAAGGACTTGAGTTGTGAATCTATGAACGACTGAATCTGCATGAATTACAAGCTTAATTTACTGGTGACGTCTGGAAAACAAACTGCAGCCTGTTGTGCTGTGTTTATTTGGCCATGTTCCCACAAGTCCCTTTGTATGAATACTGAAAATAAACAGATTTTCTTTTTTGGTTTAATTTTCTTGTTGTCCTATTACAATTTATAAGTTGTGAAAACTGCAGTTGTGCCATTTGACACGTTCGACAAATCAACAAACTCACCTTCTCCTGACTGTGGTTGTAATGGTAGAGGAATTTTGCACATTCATTGTAATTGGCCCACGTCTTGTTGACCGAAACCAGTTCCCATGTTCCATTGTTGTCACACCGACGATATGCTAGTCCTAAACGATGAGGATAAATTGTTTTTTTTAATTAGTAATTTGTAGCTCAGGAAGCGCCTGCAGGGTTACATGTTGTACAGTTGGTTCATATTCACAGATGTGGCTTTCAGCTCTGCACGTTTAAACCAACAACTCACCCTTATGGTTGAAGTCGTAGATGTATTCTGGACAGGCAGTGGACACGAGCTTTCCTGGAGGTCCTTCAGGCCAGCACACTATACCGTCCCACTCTGGAGAGCAGAATCCATCTGCAGAAACAATGGCAATGTTGACATTTAAAAGAATCATTGTTCATTTTTTGTGCAGTGCCAATGAAAAAGGCTGAAGACAAGTTTTGAGAGTCGGTTTACCAGACATTCACCTGCAAAAGTACAGTATATTAAAATATGTAAAGACCATGCTCTAACAGTAACTGTTGAGCTGAGAAAATTAAGGCAATAATTGCAATTGATTTGATGTCTGAAATAGTCAGATATAAATGACACATTTAAACACACGGGCAGGATGACGCACACTCTATATCCAATAATTCCAACATTCATTATTGCACTTGTACAATATTGACATGTGTGTTTACATCACTTGGATTAAGCAGAAATAAAAAACAACCTGCTTTTTGTCTTTCTGTTCCAGTGATGTACAGATGTATTTTTTTTTTATATTAAGGATTGTTGACGTAGCTCGATTAATCATGATTTTAAAAAAAATCAATGTTTCACATTGCTTGTTTATATAGCTGCTGGTGTGAAGTGAACAAACGTAGCCATGAAATCTGTCAATGTCACTCATGACCTGGTTCTGTGAGGTGGAGGGGGAGCAGCCTGCTGAGGAGTCAGAGACCAATGGGGCTTCTTATTGCCTTTGGCAGTACAGAGATTTATGGGCGACTCCATGGGGGAGTTGTTAGTTATACATGCAGTAGTTAGTAAAAGTACACCATTCACCAATTACACTGTATGGCATATGCATGGGTAAATATGATGCTGATGAAGAGCAGCCAGGACCATTAAAGAGGATTATAGTCTTCACCATTAACTAGGTCAGCTGCTGCACTGCACTGTAAATAAACCTTCATGTAAATTAGCTGTTCAGAACAACCTTGAAACCAGTGACTGAAAGTATTTTTCTTTCTGGTTTTGTTTAAGAAGGTGCAGTGTTAATACACAATAATACGATATTACATTTTAATAATAGTCATCATTATTTAATATTTTTAGGATTTTGGTTCAAATTGTTTGTGTGAGGGTTCATTCAGTACCAGGCTGCATAAGAAGGATCCAAAGTCTTATTTTGAATGCTTTCAATTCACATTAGTCGGCATGGTATTTTATTTTGGAAAAATGATTATGAGACAAGGAAATAAAGCAGAATTTAACAGAAAATACCAAAGATGTAATCATTTTTTAAAATAATTGTTTAGTTTGAATTTGAACTTTATAATAATAATAATATTAATAATAATAATTAAAGTTTAGGTTATAAATAATACAAAGAAATTCATTGCATTCGAATACATTCTAATGAGTGAATCCTACTGAAGGAAGTTCTCCTTAACACGTTTTAACTTTTACTGTTAGCTACTGGACCGGCTGACAACAGAAAACTATCTGAGGAATTTTAATTGACCCAATTAAGGTTATGAGCTTCTGAGGCTGCGGTAATGATCATCTACTGTTAGTGTTAAAATGGCCGAATGCACTTTTCAAACAACTCTCCTTTTAAGGCCTACTTCACATCACCACTGCACTGCTGACTGGCATGTTTTTGGAAAACTGGGACGACCGTTCACGTAGGTCGGTGCTCCATGGAATTTCAATAATACATCTATAGTTAGAGTTCAGACAAAGAGCTGTAGGTTCAAAGGGAGAGGAAATCGGCACAGAACCCTGTCATTGTCAGCGAAACCGTGGACCTCAGCCTTGTGTTGGTGGGAGCAAAATCCCGTTCCCCACAGATTCCTGGCAATGCTCACCCTTATGGTTTGGCATTTATGTTGTATTATTGAAAACAGCTGCCCCACTTTGACCACTAATAAGTAGCTAAGGATAAAACTAAAACTATCCTCTCTTTGCAGTCGATCCATTATTTTCTCATTCCTGTAATCAAACTCGCAAAGAAACTTCTGAAGCGATGACGACATGCTTTTTATTTGCCTGTCACTTGGATGAGAAAATTAAAGAGCAGACTTAGTGGAGCTGACTGATTCCTGAAGATCTCTGTCGGGAGAGAAACAGCGTTTAGTTCTGAAAATCACACTGACCACACATCCTGGAAGTAAAGGAGAATTGCTGTTCGTTTTCACCATAGGTTTTATGACCGTACTGTAGGACCACCCACTAACTGGGCTAAATTAGACAATGAGCACACACACACACTCGCGCATATATAATTTCCAGTAAATTTTTCAACCACGATTTAAATATAAATGTGGCTATAAGGGCCGTGCGGTGTAATGATGTCAGAGAGGTTTAATAAGGTTTTCTTTCCCCCAACTCATTTACTCTGACCTGCAGATGTCAAAACACATATTGCACTTTCTACCGATACATGGAACCCTATTTTTTTTTCTATAATGATTGCTGATGTTATTCTACACCCAAACCACAGACTTGAAGGCTGAGCTATTTTCACACTGCAAGGTCTGGGGCACTGAACCCACATCCCTCCACTGTCTTCTCCAGGCAAACCTCAGTGCTTTCCTCAAAGAAAACCTTGTACAGGCCACGTAATGGAGACATTTGCGTATTTAAAGCACAAATGAGAAATAAAAACAAATAGATAAAAAAAAATGCTGAAGCGCAACCAAACCAAGGTCCCGGCTTCAAACAGAACTCCACTTTTTTTCAATTAACATAGAGTTGAAGAACTGATTCATTTCTCTCTCTCTCTCTCTCTCTCTCTCTCTTTTTAAACCTGCACTTCCCTCCTGTGGGGTTTTAAAATAATCATCACTCCACATCTCCCATTATAGCTCACAAAACCACAGGTCTGCAGCGCCAGAAAAAAAAAATCTCTGAGGGTGGTCACGGCAGGACACAGGCAAGACAAACACAGATGTAAAGCCAAAGTCCTGAAAAACGCACAACGGCTTCGAATCACTGGGTTTATCTAAACCTGCGGTCTCCAACCTTTGGTTCTTCAGAAGCGACTTTTACAATAAACATGTTGTATAGCATTTATATTCATAGCTCAATTGGAACAAACAAACTCAATAAGCTTTCTTTTCCTAAACATTAATTATTATTATTATTATTATTATCTCCTGAGACTGTGTGCTACAACATAAAGGGACACACAATAAAAACCCGTTCAGGTCCTAATGACCACTTCAAGGAACCAGAAATGCTCTTTTAACTTTATCTGAAACCTTGACAGCGTCTATAATTTTTCTTTTTTTACATCACCGCTAAACCACTGCACAGATTTCCACACTGCCCAAATACAATCAAACAACCATGTGTGACAGCCAAAGTTCAGATCCAGTTCAAATCGAGTGGAGCAAACTACTTAACGTGCCATTCTGTTGAAACAACAAAAAAAAAACCAACCTTTAATCAAGCATGCTAAACAGGCACATATGTGCTAATCCAGACGACTGCAGCCGGGCCTTCCTTTTTAATATACATTAGGGTCTGTGTTTATTCCTCTGTGTTTATTCCAATTTCTTCCACTGTCATGCGATGGAACAGACGTGTGCAACATTTCAAAAGAGGTCAGAAAAAAACACGGAACGCAGCGTGAGTCATGGCCGAGGTGTGATGGCATCAGCAGGTCTGCTCTCATGTTGCCCCCAAACAGCACCTCGGGCGTTTGACTCAACTCCAGTCAGACGTGTGATAATTGAGTCCGAATGTTTTCTCTCGTTAGAGAAACTTCCCCTTTTCAGTGCTAGTGATGCACCGATGAAGAGGCTGTGACTAATTTGTAGTTAATAAAGTCATGAACGCCGTGTCTTCCCTTCTTAATTCACAGATGTAAAGTTTTAAAAATGCCAAATCCTTAATAAATTACTGGAATTTTTTTTTTTTTTCACATCGACACAGCGGAGCCAAATTTAAAGTAAGTTTCTTATTTACAATTTATAAAAATTGCACAAAGTAAAATTGCACAAAGTAACATATTCATACATGTTACTTTATAACATATTCATAGAAATACTTCTTATAATACTAAATAATACTTCTTATAGCAATTTATATTGGATTTTCAGTTGAAAATATTGTAAAGTCATGTGCCTTTAAAGACACTAATGTTAGAAACTGCTGTTCAATATACATGACCTTTTGACCCTTATGCAGTAATACATTGTCAGTGTCTATGTGACTCCATTATAAAATCACTGTAACCGAACATATTTAATACACATTTATCTGAAGGTCAAATTAACATTTTCGTCTTTTTTTCTTCAAAATACTTTTTTTTTTCTTTCAGCAAATCTAGTTACAACATAGTCCGTGCATTTCAAATGATCTGTCTCTGTATACAAAACCTAGATGTGGATGAAAAGACGGCTGCAGATGTGCAGGGAGGAGGGGGTTAAAGTGTGATGTCAGTGACTGTGACGTGTCAGGAGGGATTAAGGTTGATGTGGTCAGATGAACAACAAAGGCTCTCATGTGAGAGCGAGCTAATCTACGAGCTAAACGACCGCCCGCTCTCTGCCTTGCATTAACATGTGTGACGGCTGTGTAGAAAACTACATGGTTTGTTATATAAACTCTGGGCAGTTGTCACAGGCCTCTGTCCGGCGCCCACTTTGAGTTTTCATGGTTTTTATGTCAAAAACCATGAAAAGTTGGAAAAATACCCCCAGAGCAACATAACCATAGGGGAAGTTTCAACAAAGGATTTCTGTGTTCAGAGCCGGGAAGTAAACATTTTTAATTATGTGTTTCATATACCGAGGGGGTATCGTTTAGGGGGTCGAGGAATTCGCTGCGACCACAGTGTACTGGGGTTAAGGAGAAAATAATACGATCGGTTCGACTGCGGAATCCAAAATCCTCCCCTGAACAATCAACTGGGAAAATGTCAGTGACCACATTGATACAGTAGATGCTGGCGTCTGCTGGAAATCGGTGCTCCTCAGACACCCATAAATACACAAATACACCCAAGCATCAGCTTGGATCCCAGCCTCAGAGAAACCACAGGGAGGACAAAGGAAACAGAGCAACATTTTCAAACGTGACCACTTAAAATACACATTTTACTGCAGATTATTTGGTTAGAGAGTATTTACTATATTTCAAGTCCAAATTAAAGAGCTCAGAGTCACATCGCTCATGCGATCATCAGATCATCGTCTCTTCACTCAGACACTTCCTGTTTGACTCCTGCTGATACTTCAGAAATCCTCTGCACACTGAGAGTATTTAAATCAACTTCATGCAGAATTTTAATCTTCACAACCCTCGGGCTATTTATTGACCTCTCGACTGACTCTGTTGCTTCGATTCAAATTAGTAGAGTTTTCTAAATAAAGAACAGTGCAAAAAAAAAAAGAGAGAAAATTATTTGGAAAATAAAAACAGATTATGAGGGATATTTTGTTCTTTTTTTCAGGGGATTGTTTTGCCTGGTTGAACAAGTTTGATACATTTATACCACAGCAGACAGACTTGTTTTTTTTGACGACATTTCAGCTCTCGTCCAAGAAGCTTCTTCTGATGATGTTTCAGCTCTCGTCCAAGAAGCTTCTTCATCTCTAGAGGACAGCGTGGTGCGAGCTGGTGTGATATTTGCCCAGAGGTCGGGTGGGCCACACACCTGCACTTGGGCCTGTGATTTCATATTAAAAGAGTTTCCGTTCCCTTCCCTTGTCCCATTCATATAAAAATACCTCTCAGCTGTGCAGGAGTCTCCCTTTCATTTCCTTTTCATGCACAGACTCCAGAGTTCATGAAGAATGTGCAGCATGATCAAAGAAATCAAATTGGATGAGTACGCTGGTATTGTTGCAAATATGCCGCATAGAATTGTGGCTGAATCACTATGGAAACGCTTCAGAAATACCAGTGCGGTCGTCTGCGTCTTTTATTTTACTCACCAGGGATCTTCTGCTTCACCTTGATGTTATCCTCACACTTCCTCTTGGCTTTGAACAACAGTCCTATCTGTTCCTCCTTCGTCAGCACATCATCCGAGCAAACCTGCAAAAACACCAAATGAGGAGCTATTAAGAGAAACTGACGTAAACTCCACTGCTGTGCCGGAATAAATACAACAAACCTGAACATGTCAGAGTTTGATCTGACCTTTACAGTTTTATCTGTATGAGAAGTAACATTTTTTTCACTGAGGGCATTAATCGGCCTCAAATCCCCCGCCGCTCTGAATGTCTGCTGGTCAAACTTCTGCGACAGCAGATTAAAATAGAAGTTCCAGTAAAATCTCCACTAACTGACATTTTCACAAAAACAATATGAGTCAAAGTGACAGGTTAGCCCAGGAGTGTGACAGACTGTTCTGTGGTTGAAAGGTCACACTGAACTGTGACAAAAAAATAAAAAAAATAGTGTCTCCCGTCAGCTTTTCTATTCTCACCTGTCATTTTTTTATTACATAAAGCACTTTTCACTTACATTAATCTCCTTTACCTTTTTATTCAAACTCAGGTCTTTTGCTTCTTTTGTCTTTTGCTCTTTTGTAAAGAAAAACACAGACTGCGACTTTTTTTTTTAAAGCCAAACAAAAATGTTTTTTTTTTTATATTCTTTGTATTTGTACATTGTGTTTGAGTGTAGCATGTTAGCTCAGGTGTGGTTTTTCCAGTCAAGGAAACATTTTCCATTCTAACATGCCACTCTGTCTGGCTCACTGTTTGCTCAGAGATCACTTTTGGGCAATGACAAATATGACTATGCTGAAAATAATTGTGTTTATTTAAAAATGAGTGTCGAAAAGGAAAAAAGTAGAAATTAAAAAAAAAATGTATTACTTCAAGCAGTGTGACAGTACTGTATGTATCCACAGACTCAAGCCTGGAGAAGAAGGGCTAAATAAAATAAAAGCCTGTCTTGTCTTTTTGGTTTAATGATGCAGCACAATACAAACAGAACAGATGAAAAACAGATGTTCACACAAAAACACTTAACTCCCTGCCTACAGCTGCAATTGTCGGTTTCAGACAAAAATAACAAATCTGGACGACACAATCCAGTGCTGGCGTGTTCCCTTCTTGCATAGCGATGAGAAAGTGGTACCGTTCTCTGCCCATGTACTGAGAAACGTGCAGTAAAGATGTAATCCATTTGTCAACCGTAAGTCAAATGGACCTACCAATTAGAATCAGCCTTAATGAAAGATAATAGGCTAAAATAACATGCATTTTGTTACAAAAGTCTTCAAAAAGCAGAGTGGTAATTTATTTTTTTTAAAAAACCTCAAACCCAATATGTTTTGTTTCAGTGCATTGAGTTCAATGATGGAAACTGTTGCTGAATGTTTGTGACCTGTGACCTCTAGGGCAGAGTTTCACAACACACAGAAACAAATGTTCACTGAGACGCAGTCATGTGAAAACAACAAGATTTTAAAATGTTCAGGTGAAGATGTTGTTAAAGGATTTTGGAATAAAGTGAGTTAAGTGTGTTCATGCATTATAAACATTTAAACATATAAACATTTTGAATGCATTTTTGCAGACATTTTCACAGATGGGATCTGCACTGCACACTTAGCTGCATCTGTAGTTTATTTCTTCTTTTTTTTTTTAGCTACAATGACAAGAAGGTCACTGCTGCAGAGCAAACTGTTGATGTTTTCCAGACTCTCCTGGTGCCTGTTCAAAATCCATAATACCTCAATCACCCAATATTTTCACAACGTGCTACCCTGAAATAAGGATGTCCAGTCTGAGCTGAAAAGCGTTTCAGAATGAAGACGTTTATGGCTTTGCACTGTAAACAACCACAGATATAACAACATTGGACCGCGGGCGAACAAGGATAGATACTACCTGTTTACTGTGCTAACTATGCCAATATAGAATGTTCCACCGACAGCTCCAGCAGACGCTGACACTGTTTTCACTGGTGTTACTTGAGGTAAAGTCTTAACCAATGAAAAAGAGGAGAGCCAGTTGATCTGGTGCTCAGGGCTACGAACAGCTACGGTTGACTGTTTTGGTTTTTTTTTCCTTCTTGTTGGCGCATGTTTCACTTTCATAGGCATTCTATGAGACATGAATCTACTTTAGTAGTAAATAATTATTTTAATAAGATGTTATTAGTCAGAGTTATGAATGTAGTCTTCAGCTGATTTCTTTAACAGTGAGTGAGATCATCGTTTCTAACACGTTCTTTTTTTAACCTTTGCTGCAATGATTAAACAAAAACTGAACTTTTTCTTTTTTGTTTTTCTTTTTCTTTTTCTCTCCTTCATCAGCAGAGGCCCATCTTTAGAGGATGTAGAAGTGTATCGCTTAACATTTTGCAAGGAGAATCCTGGGAATAAGTGTGCCCCCTGATTATTCCTGAAAACTATTCCTCTTCCACTGGCCGGCGTCCAAACCTCCAAGGTAAACACGACTCTCTCACAACTCTGGGGAAACATGCACATTCTTATTTACTGTATTTCATGGACAAACACAGTATTCTTTTTGTCGACAGCTTTTGAGCCGAGGCCAAGATGAAAATTAGAAAAATACACACCATATAAATATGTGTGTTTTCATCACTGGACGCTAGAATACAAACTCCACTCGCATGAACCACACGTTTCTATTTGTCTTTGCAAACTGCGGCTTGATGACTTAAACTGTAGCTCTCTGCATGGAAATAAGACCAATATTGAGAAGAGCTGGATTTAGGCTGCTGTGTCAAGACAGTGTTGAACCACTGCGACTAAAATACTGACACGACACACCACGACAGGAAAGGCACGTTTACAATTCTGTTTTAGTGTTTCTAATTCCACCCTTGACGCACAAAATTATTCTAGTTGACCAAATGTTGTATTTAGTTATAAAAGATGAACTTGTCCCGTGCCAGTGATGAATCGACTCTGTGTTCGGACGTTGAGTTTTGAATATTTTGTAGAAAAATATACAGGGGGAAAAAAAACTGAAATCAGAAACTGTGTCATGTGGATAAATGCCATGCGGACGCCGAGTGGAGACACGGGCTTTACGCTACATTACCAACAGCCTGATTACGGACGGACTTATTCATTTATTTTATTTACGTATTTGTTTATTATACGGAAAGCTGCGGTAGACCAAAGGCATTTCCTGAAACGTTCGGCCCTGAGGCGGGGAGTTAAATGTTACACATTTAGTAGAAGGAACAAAAACAAACCTGACCATTCACAAGAATCAACAGAACACAACAGCAGAGTGGAAGGAAGTAAAAATATCTGTGTCGCACATTCATGGACTGAATGAATTGTCAATACAAAAACACTACGACATGATGTAGACCATATTTTAAGTTGAGTTGGTTACGGAACATCGCAGACCCCAAGTTTTGAAACGGTCCAATCAGATCTTTCCATCGACAACTTTTGTTTTCAATTTAGTGTAAAAGTGTGCGACGGAGCCACGCGATACAGACAGTCACAGAAGTGATCCAGAAAACCGTGTGACGATGCGTTGGCTCTGTGAACGGTTGTGTAGCGTGAGATATTCCACTCAAGATGACACTCTGTCACATGGATGATAAATAACACACAGACGTATTTACTCCGTTTGGAAGTACAGAGGGATTCTTGTATTATGAACATGTTCTGGACACATGCCATTCTTTACAGCATAAACCAACATTCACTTCCTTATTGTTGGCTGATATTCAAAATTTGACCCACAGGGATTTTTTTTTCTACTTTCCTGTACATTTTCTCACAAAAAACAGGGTCTGAAAAAATGACGGCTCCTCTGAATCTTGTTTTTAATGGCCTGTCCTCTATCTGGAAAAAAACAGGAATATGTTACTTTTGACATATTTCACCGCATGAGTATTTTAGCGGATGAGGTTCCTGGATATTATAAACTCTATGAGTCAGTGCCACTCCTCTTCAACTGTGCAATTTGCATTTGATGATAAAAACCACAAACCACAAGACTGGTTGTCCTTTGGAAATGCTCGCAGACCACATTCTGACTTAAAGCAGCGTTTAGTTCCTAATTATACCCTGCTCTGCTCGTAAGCTTGAAGAACAGCACTTTTGTCCTTGATGGAAACATTGTGTGTGCTCTGAGAGGCAGCACATGTCTTGTGCAGTCCAAATAACTCGTTGTTCTGTGAATTAAAAAAAAGGGCGATTGGTGTTTCATCTAACCGATTGTGACTGGATGCACAAACTTGGACTTGTTACTTTAATGAGGCGACGCAAATGTATTCTTTCAATCTTTATCAAAGCCAAGCAGTGCTTATGTAACATTAAAAGCACTAGACATGTTGTAATATCTTAATGGATTTTATGGACATGACACACGTGGCCCAATGCTGCCGGACAATGAATTACAATACATGTAAGTAGAGTGATTTTCTCCACACAGATCACGAGGATTACAGGTTAAAAATATCAAACTGATGTGGATTTGTAATCCATAGGAGCATTTTTTTTTCACATGTGGCAGATTGTATGGTTTCACTGTAACACACGCTGCAGCTTTAAAGCCATGAGGTGGGGTCTCAACCTCCAGGGCGTGGGCCACTATCCGGCCCAAAACTACATGTCAGTAAAACCTTCCCTTGAGGATTTAATATATATAAATGTATTTAAAAGCCTCATGAGAGCAAAGTAATTTTCTTAACTATTAGGATTTGTGTATTGAACAATCGATACCTGTCATGGCCCCCTAGTGAAATAATAGCAGCACTGGGAGCAGTGCCCCTCAGCTCATTTATGTAGAAGTGAGAGCCCTGATTAAGAAAACCTAATTATATAACTATATATATATTACAATAATATTCAAATGTTTTTTTAATGGTTGAAATCATGGAAGCCTGATTTGTTATCACACTGTTGAATGAGTGAAGTGCTACGCTACCGTTTATTAACATGTCATATAATGAGACTTCAGCTGGTGATGATATCTTTTATTATTACTCCTTTTGTATAAGTGTCCGCCGTTCCATGCAGTAAATGTCAAAACTGTGGGTGGGTCTAATTAAATGGCTGCAAATGGCCTCGACCTACAATAAAATGT